AACTATCGTCACTACACCGGGGTCTACTTGCAGACGGACCCGGCATTATGAAACATCTCAGCGCGGCACAAACACCTATCTTTGGTCTCTACCTAAATTGTCTATATGTAGGCTATCTGTTGAAGAGAAACACACACAAAAAACGGTGTCTATAAAATCAGCCCTGATTAATGCAAGATCAGTAGTGAACAAAACATTTTTACTAAACTTTTTTCAATCAAATAATCTGGATTTCATGTTTATTACCGAAACTTGTTCCCATGAACTGTTGCTTTTTCAGCTTCCCTAGAAAGTCAAGGAAGGGTGGAGGAATTGCTGTTATAAAAAATAAAAATAAAAAAACATTTGTAAGTGTAGACTTTTATCAGTAGATAGTTATGACAGTTTTGAGGCTATGTTATGCAAAGTTGAATCCTCATGTTCTCTGCTTATTGCAGTGATACATAGACCACCAAACTCTAAAAGTGACTTTTTAAGAGAAATTTTTTCCTGATTTAGTCACAAGTGAAAACATTTTAACTGTTGGTGATTTCAATTTACATCTGTGTTGTCCTTGAAAGCCTCTTGTAAAAGAGTTTGTGCCACTTATCAATTCTTTTAACCTTAAAGGAACACTCCGACTTTTTGGGACTTTAGCCTATTCACCTTATCCCCCAGAGTTAGATAAGTCCATACATACCTTTTTCATCTCCGTGCGTGCTATAAGTCTGTTTGACGCACCCACCGCTAGCCTAGCTTAGCACAAAGACTGGATGTAAATGGTTGCAGCTAGCATACTAATCCAAATAAGTGACAAAATATCGGAAACATTTTCCTATTTACATGTTGTGATTTGTATAGTCACAGAGTGTACAAAAAAACAAAGTCACATGAGACACAGACATATTTTAACCGTATAAATACTGGGAACTATATTATCTGAAGGCGAAGCACTGCTACTTGGGCGGAGTGATAACCGCAGCACCTGAAACGAGCCGTGGTGAGGAGCAGAGAGCGCATCTCAGGTGCTGCGGTTATCACTCCGCCCAAGTAGCAGTGCTTCGCCTTCAGATAATATAGTTCCCAGTATTTATACGGTTAAAATATGTCTGTGTCTCATGTGACTTTGTTTTTTTGTACACTCTGTGACTATACAAATCACAACATGTAAATAGGAAAATGTTTCCGATATTTTGTCACTTATTTGGATTAGTATGCTAGCTGCAACCATTTACATCCAGTCTTTGTGCTAAGCTAGGCTAGCGGTGGGTGCGTCAAACAGACTTATAGCACGCACGGAGATGAAAAAGGTATGTATGGACTTATCTAACTCTGGGGGATAAGGTGAATAGGCTAAAGTCCCAAAAAGTCGGAGTGTTCCTTTAATCAATCAGTATCTGGCCCTACACATAAGTTAGGGCATACACTTGATCTTGTGTTATCCTCAGGTTTCTCTAAGTGATACTAGTTTGTCTGATCATTGCCCTGTTGTGTTTGACTGTGAGTTCTCTATTTCCAGCTCTGTATACCAACCATCTACTTTTCTTGCTCGCCCCTTAAATTCATCTACCGCTACCAATTTTAAGGATTTGTTTTTAGCTTCGGCAGCAGGTACCAATTCGGCATCACAAGGCATGGATGTTGAGGATATGGTTATACACTTCAATGCTTCTTGTACTGAAGTATTAAATGCAGTTGCCCCTCTCAAAGGTTAAAAACGAAAAAAGAAATACGCAGCCCTGCCTAAACGAAGACATTAGAGCTTTAGGGAAAAAATGTAGAAGGGCAGAAAGAATATGGAAACGGGACAAACTGCAAATTTCTTATCATTTTTTGCAAGCTAGTCTGTCTCAATATCAGGAAGTTTATCAAGGGCTAACTATTTTTCCAGTTTGATTGCAAAAAACTTTGTCCGAAGACACTATTTTCCACTCTAAACTCTTTGTTGAATCCCCAAATTGCATCCGCTTTTGTTCCAAGTCCTGATCTGCGTGAGAAGTTAACAGCTTCTTCATAGACAAGATTATTGGCATTAGGTCCCTGATTTTATTATCCTCATCCAAAATTTGTTATAATTTACAGATTAGTTCTTCTAGTCTGTCTGCTTTTCAGACTATATCTCACTCTGATTTGCTAATATGAGCTTAACCACTTGTTCTCTTGATACTATTCCCGCTGTCCTTTTTAAGGAGGTATTGGATGTTGTTTTACTTAGTGTACTTTCCATTATAAATGCCTCTCTGATCCACTGATCCATCTAGTTTAAAACATGCTGTGGCTCACCCCTTGCTAATTTTTTTTTAAATAACATAGATCCTTTTCAGTCTGCTTTTAAAGCCAAGCACAGTACTGAGTCTGCCCTATTAAGAGCGACACATGATATTTTGTTATCAGTTGACTCTGGAAACTGCAGTTCTTGTTCTGTTGGATTTAAGTGCAGCTTTTGACACCGTGGATCATTGTATTTTGTTAAAAAGATGGCATCTGTGATACTGCCTTAGTGTGGTTTGAGTCTTATCTTTCAAATAGGAGTATATTATCTGTAGAAATTGGAGAATTTTCATCTTCCCCAGTGCCAAATCACCTGTGGGGTGCCACAAGGTTCGATCCTGGGTCCAGTTTTATTTTCACTTTACATGCTTCCACTGCACTCGAACTTTGAGCATCACAAGATCTATCACATCAGATGATTTACCCAGCTCTATTTACCATTAGACTCTAGTGATTCTATTCCTTCTATTCCTTCCCTGCTAGCATGTTTAAAGGATATTAGAGAATAGATGGATGAAAATTTTCTTCAATTGAATGAAAACAAGACAGAGGTTATCCTGTTTGGGTCCAAACCGCAGATTGACAAATACAGTGCTTTCTTGGGGAATTTTCAGTCAAACAATCACCTTCTTACTTTTAGGGATTTTGAGACTGTTATTCACGCTTTTATTTCCTCAAGACTTGATTACTGTAATGCCTTGTATGCTGGAATTAGTCAGTCATCATTCCCACGATTACAGATTGTCCAAAATGCTGAAGCTCGTTTCCTGTGGGACAAAAAAGAGGGAACATATTTCACCTATCCAGGCCTCTCTCCATTGTCTCCCTGTGAAACAAAGAATTGATTTTAAGGTTTTAATTTATGCGTTAAAAGCTCTACATGGACTTGCCCCGATTTATATATCAGAACTTTTAAGTTTTTATTCTCCTCAGAGATCACTTAGATCTTCATCTCAGCTGTTATTAAATGTCCCGAAAGCTCGTTTGAAAACAAAAGGAGATTTCACTTTCTTTTTTGCTCCAAAACTTTGGGACACACTACCTTTAACGATTAGAGTTTCTCCCACATTAAACGTTTTTAAAGCATTAATTAAAACCGACCTTTTCTCAGGCTTACCAGTAACTTGGGGGGTTTTTGTATGCATTTTTTAAATGCTATGGGGTTGCAGTTTTTGTGATGTACCAGACTATTAGTGATTGGTCATTCATGAACGATCCATTCATGTCACGTGACAAATGAACGAAAGACTCGGAAGGTAAAGTAATTATTTATGTTTGCCCTGTATGTTATGTTATGTTCCCTGTAAATTATTTTTGACTGCATTATAATGATTTCTGAATTCAGAATATTATCAGGATTGCGTTGGTGGATATGTTTGGGGAATTTGGCTGTTAAAAGTATAACGTTTAAAGCCACTTGAATGAACGAAATGACTCGAAAAAAGATTTGTTCATTTTGATAAACGAGATCGAACAAGAGTCAGTAAGTTATTATACATTTTCTGTTTGAATTTTTTAGGTTTTTGGTTTGAATTTTTGACATATTCTGTTTTACTATGTGTGTCTTTTTGCTTTACTTGTGTAAAAGGTGCTAAACTTTGACCTTGATAGTCCTGATAATCTTAAAGATCACCACCAACACAAATGTTGTAGATTTATGTAACAAGATACAAAACAAACAAGTCAGTATCAATAATAATAACAACAGGAGAACTCATTTGTCATTCAACAATAACAAAAACAATGTTCAAAGAATTACATGTTCATACCGTGTCAGAATTTTATAAAACAGTAATTTTCTCTTCAGTATCACAATAAGGTTTCCAGTGTTCAAACGTCACAACATTCATGCTGTCAATACACGACACTATCAGGGCAAAACAAGAGATAAATAACCAAAAGGAGCTACTATGACAAGATAATAACTGGCTAAATAATAATACTATTGTAAACTGATGTAAAAATACACTCGATATCATATGAAAAATTACATTTGATATCAGGCAAGAAAAAAAAAGTATTTAAAAAAAATTTAAACAAAAAGAAAAAGGGATATCTTTTTAAATTTAGCTTCCTAAAAGGCCAATACAAACAAGCCCCGTTCAGTGTTAAACACTTCACATCTCTTACAGTTCATGTAAATATCAGTGACACACACACACAGTATTGCTTGTTCATCATTCAGTCACTAAAACCTGTAAATTCCTGCATTAATCTAATGTTGCTTCATTGTCATCTACCCCTAATCCACAAGTCAGATATAATTAAAACACTAATATGATGTTCAGACGCTGTATTATCATCAGGTTCTTAGAGCGTCTTTGGAGCCGTCATTAGCATAAAGGTGGCCTATCGACCCTAATATGTTAATAGCTTTACAACTAATCCGTCTCGTCAAACTCGAACACATGCACCCGTACAGTCACAACATCTCGCCTCTTAAACTCTATTATTAGTGCGAGCAACGTTCATAACTTCTTATTTACTTAGATAAACATTTCTCAGGTTAAATAATACATTAAACTACAGAGAACAAGACAACGGAATCAATAAATAGCTTTAAATCTTGCTCTCACAATCCAAAGGCGTCACACTTTTTTTTTAAAAACAAAAAAAAAACATTTTAGTCATTATAAACAAAAAGGATAATTTTTATTGAGTTTCTCTCTTTAAAAGCATTATAAATAAAATGATGCGCATTCTCTTATACAGTAGAGTTTGTTGTTGTTGTTTTGAAATGGGTGTAAATTCAAACAGGTTCTTAGTTTAGTCAGTGTTTTCCTCTGAGCGTCTGGAAGGTGTGTTTGAGGATTTGATTGACAGGTTTCCTCAGCAGTGGCGAGGAGAGTTGGGATACTTGTCCTTCAGGCTCTCCTTAAAGCTGCGGAAGAGGACCCGGTTCTTGCGGTTCTCCTCGTCCTTCCTGCTGTGAAACTCTCCCTGGACCTTGAAGCCCTTGTGCACCACAAACGCATTGCTCAGGACGGAGAACCGGTAGCCAGCGACGTGAAGCTCGCAGGCCTGGAGAGAAGAGAGAGAGGCCGTCAGTGAGTAACTGAGCCGGGAATCAAGGAAGAAAATAAACTCATATTTTGCACCATAAGAAGGTTTTCAGATCACGTTGGTTCTAGTCTACTTGTTTAGAATATTATACTTACAATATTTATTAATAAAAAAAATAATAAAAAAAATAATGCTTTATTTTGCACGACTCTGCAATTCGCCTTTGGCTAAGCCCCGCCCTCCTTAGTTACTGTTGCTACGTCCGACAAACAAACTTAATCTGGGCTCTGGTATCAACATGGCTTATGCTGTGACAGCTCTTCCTGCTGAAATTGTATCAAACTTATAAAGCAGCAAATAAAGTGTCCGATAGAAGTAGGCAAAAGGGGCTGCAATATACGTTCGAAGGCTATATTCACGACATACAGGTGAAACGCAAGGAACAACCAGGCATCCAAACAGAGGCAAAAGCATACCGGTCACAGTCAAAAAATGACCCACCGCATATCCTACTAATCGAGGCGGACGCTGGGACTAACAATATCAAGGAGCAACACTGTTCATGCAAAGCTGGGTAGGTCTCTATTTACTTCTATAATCGTTATTACAAAACAAACGGACTACGCGAGTAAAACGTTGCATTTATTAGCAGCGTGTGCTAGACGACACTTGTCAGGATTTGACTTCGGTTTGTGAAGGGAAAAAAACGGACACCCCCCTCCAACCTCTCTGGGAAACGCGCATCTGTGTTACAAATGCCCCAGGCACAACGTTTAACCATATTTTTGATAAAACTACGACGGTAATAGTCTGCCAAGACCAACATTTGAGACGCCCGTGTTAAAGTCAATGGAGCGCTGTGAAAAAGTGTCGGACCTCTGTGGGAGCTCGTTCTTGGCTGCGCTGTGATTGGTCAATCTACATTCTAGGGTGTGGCTTAGCCAAAGGCGAATTAGCTAACTGATTATTTGTACAAACCCACTCACCTGACTGATCCGGTTGAAGCCGTACTGCCGGAAGCTCTCGTCGTAGAGAGGAACCGATCGAGCGCCGATGTAGAACGGCTCCCAGGGATCGGCCCAGTTTAAGGTGTACGCCACCTCCAGCGGCCCAGAGCTTCGGCTGGCCCGGTTGACCCACTGGGAGTAGTTAGTGGGAGCCTGACAGCGAGGGCACAGCTCATCGTAGAACGGCCTCACCTCTCCGACCTGATAGAGTTGCACCAGCTCTGGCTTCGACCCGGGCATTTTACGCGTGTGTCTGATCTCGAACGCTGGAAGAACGAGGACCTCGTCCGCGGCGGGTTCACGTTTCATTAGCATGGTCACGAACTGGTGGTGCAAATTGGCACTGGGAATCATGTCGACGTCGATGACCAGGATGTAGGCCGAGTCTGTGCCGCTGCGGGCCACGTTTCGGAGAAGGTTGTTCGGGTACGAGACGTTGTTTCCAATGGCGTAGTTTTTATACTTGTCTCGGTGGGATTCGAGATTCGCGAAGACACCGGAACAGCCCTTCTCCTCGAGACCGGCGAAGTGCTCTCGATCCTGCTCTGGAAAACTGGCCGTTTCTCCTGAAAGGCAGACCAGGTGGAAGTCAACCAACGCTTTAACTTGAGGGCAAAACAAGCTGAGGGCGTAGGCGAAGGCCGTCGCGAACTTGACATCTTGTCCGTGGGCGAATATAGCTATAGAAAGAGGATTCTGCCAGCGCTCAAGCAGAGAGTTCAAATGGTGAAGGTTGTTGATCGTCGTATGCGTGGCCAACGCCAGATGGTGCGATCTGGAATCTGCTCCTGGCTTCTGATTGGTGGAGAAGTCACTTTTAATCAGGTTCTTATACACACGATACTGTCCGCTGCCATCGAAGATGCCGCCTGTGGATAAAGAGTATCTGAGATGTTCCCGTCTGGGGTTCTTCTCATCTTGGTTTGCAGTTTTTTTGGATCCGAACAGCTCTGAAAACTTGTAGCGCTGCTGTTTGCCATGCAGTTTTGAAAGGAAAGACAGATATAAAAGCTGCAACAGTGCAACAATGAGAAGCGCACTGAGCACCACCTTAAACACTGAGCATTTTTTAGAGAAATGCATTACAATTACTGGTACCTTTTAGTGAATATTAATTAAATATTCTCAAATGGTGTCTATGGCTACAGTACAGATCAGCTAGGGTTAGCCAGGGCAACACTAGCTCTAGCTATGCAGCCCTCATGCATGCAGCAGACATTGCATTGACTTGCATTGCATTGCAGCAAGATGAAGTGCAGGTCAGATTGAGCGTGAATTGACTTGCATGTTTGGATGCATGCGAAAAGACGCCCGTTAGACGCCTGTGAACGAGCAGAAGAGAAAAGCGTTCGGGAAGAGCACGCACTGCGCATGCGTGTTTACCGTTCCGCTTACCGTAAACACCCTAGAACGGGCTCGTCTCTCTAAAATGTGTTCTGGAATACGTCTGTGCGATGGTTTCGATTTTATAAACACTCCCTGTTATTAGCAATCAGACGAAATGTCAGTAAATACTCGTATCTGTTATTGACTATTAGCGACAATCAAAAAGGTTTAGTTAAGATTCGTGGACGCAAGCGACGAGGTGGCCGAGTGGTTAAGGCGATGGACTGCTAATCCATTGTGCTCTGCACGCGTGGGTTCGAATCCCATCCTCGTCGATAACTTTATTTTTATTTTGATAAATACTAGATCCCGGAAACCTTTCAATCTTATTGTACAATATGCTAAATATACTCAGAAAGCGCTAAGCTACACGAACAGATAGTACTTTCGGATTTTTGTACATGATAGTACCAGTGGCAGCTGATGGAAACGTGCTAGATCATGCTGTGCCACATCCAACAGTTGTAGCATGATCCCAGTATTTAATTCTACACGGGTAAAAAAAAAAAAAAAAAAAATACTTTAAATAAAGATAATTGATTTACCAAGTTCAGGATTAAGTTTGAGGGTGATCCTCACAAAACTTGTTCTCCAAGCTTTCTTAAAGGTAAATTTAAATATACTTTTTAATCGTAATAATTCACAATTTATGTATACAGTGCAACAGCAAAAAATGTGAGGAAAAATAAATGTTACATTTGTTAAGAGCTATATATACAGTACCGGTCAGGAAACATGACTATTTTTAATGTTTTTGAATGAAGTCTTTTGCCCATTGAGGCTGCATTTATTTGTAATAACAGTAATATTGTGCAATATTAGCTGCAATACTAAGCAGGACCACATGGAGATGCCATCAGACCATTATACCAGCCCTGACCAGACTGCAAATAGATACTATACTGATCCGTTCAGAATTATTAAATGCACCAAAACACAAGTGGAAAATAACATCATTCTGAATGTGTCGAAACTGCAGGACGGGGCGACATCATCAGTTCCTCCGTCAGAGTAAGTGCTTGAGTGTTAGATAAAGACTTACCTTCTCAAACTCATATAAAAACATGCGAATATCCATTTTAAAACACTCCTCAGACATGTGACCATACAGAAATTTAAATAAATAAATTCGGATAAGATTTGAGGACGCTGATTGGCTAAATTTTATGTCATGTCATCAACATGTTCACAGCAATTGGCTAAACGGCTACATAAACCCGTCCCGTGGGCGATTTCTCTATAATATACATTGTTTCGTGCACTTACCATGGTATATAAATATGGTAATATTTCTGTATTTTAAAATATTACATAAAAACCGTTACTCGATTACATATTTATTTAAAAAAAAACAAAGATCGTTTTTTTTCCAGTCAATTCGTGAGGCAAGTTTTATCAACGATTGGTTAAAATATACATAAACTCAACCCTTTTAAATGTGTGTATGAAACAAAAATACTATGTATTTTGCATATCATAATACACTTTTTTTACATTTAAAATGTCTAAATATGTGGTCACATTAGCTAAATTTCACAGCCCAAATAGTACCTAGTGTCAGTAGGGTATTTGACCTCAAATATTTTCTTAAAGTTCCTCCTGAGAAATAAATTATTTACAGTATGGGGCTCAAAATATAAACATTTCATCTCATAAAAAACTAACACAAACATTTTATTGATTTTTTTAGCGTTTAAGTGGACTCAAACCTCTGTTTAGTTGTGATAATCCACATTTTATTTACAGTTTTTTTTATAAACCCAGTCAATTTGAACAGTTTTATACTATTATTCTTAACGCTATAAAAAGACATTACTATAGTAATAATACAATCGTACTTGAAAATATAAACAATGAATATTTGATCATTATAATAATTTTATTTCACAAGTTAATAACTGATGGTGAACAGCAACACACACACACACACTCTTTTTATGTATTTTGTGTGTGAATTTAGTGGCAAACAGAACACGCAACACTGTGAAAAGATCTTGCTCAACTGTATTTTTAATTCAATAACCAAAACAACCACAAAAACAAATCAAACATAAGGCTTCGTCCACAGACGTACAGTCGTGACATGATAGACGATGGAGTAGATCTGCGGTCGACAGTCAGCGATCCGCGGCCCGAGACAGTCGCTGGCCGTCACACTCATCTCATTCTGCAAACACTAGTTATTACTGCAGTCCTAGAGCAGTGAAAGTCTAACCGTTCGGAGGATGGTGGATTCATGCGGTCACGGCACATCAATGGATGTTGAGTCTAGTTTTGTTGAATGTTTACTTGCCATAAATTGGACTTAAAAGCAAATAACGGGAAAATTGTGAAAACAAAGAAATGACATGAACGTTCAGTGTTTTATGTTCTAATATAATGAATGTACAAAATGTGACTTTCACTCTCTTTCGTGTGTAAGACTAAATGGAGACATGCCGACTCAGTCTCTCCGCCAATATTAAAGCGCCAGCGGCATCTACAGCAGCGATGCCCTACGAGACGAGCACTCCCGCGCCGCCTTTAGAGCCGGCTTCGCTGTCTTTGGCTTGACTGGCGTCCGCTTTGCCCTGCTTCTCGTCCTCTCCCACTAACCGGATGTTGTAGCGCTCGCGGTATTCCGTCAGCTCGCGCCCTTTAGCCTGCATCTGTGTGTTCAGCGTCTCCACGATCTTCGAGATCTGATCGGACAGACAGAAACTGTGAGAATGCATCGTTTACCACAAGCAAACATTCGTGGCTACGTCTACATTCATCCGGATACATTTTAAAACCGCTCTCAGTCCACGCTAGCGTTTTCAAAATGCTCAGTCCACGCTAGCGTTTTCAAAATGCTCTCAGTCCACGCTAGCGTTTTCAAAATGCTCTCAGTCCACGCTAGCGTTTTCAAAATGCTCTCAGTCCACGCTAGCGTTTTCAAAATGCTCTCAGTCCACGCTAGCGTTTTCAAAATGCTCTCAGTCCACGCTAGCGTTTTCAAAATGCTAAAATTCGTCTTTACTGCACATGTGTAAAACCTCACTGAGATGATACAGACGGAAAATACATGATAAAGTTATCGTGCAATTTATTTATTTTTATTAATGCCAAGGTATCAAAATTATAAGTAGCCTACAAAAATGTACAAATTACATACAATGAAATAAAGCAAGCAAAACAGCACATATACGTACGTATACTTTATCGCGCAATTTATCTGGCAGGCTCATTGTGTTTAGCAAAATATCTCCCGATTCACTGACGCGTCCAGGTCGCGCTCACTCACCATTATCCACCTTATTCCTGACGACCTTACTGCGTTTTGAATTATGGGTGGCACTTCCGGTTTGGGAAACTTCCATACAAAAAGGCTGAAACGAATCATTAAAAATCATAAGGTTGCCCTACAAATAAAGCTGATCCGTTAGTTTGACTGGATGAGCTGTCAATTTTCCTTCATGATTTATTTTCAGACATCATGAGAATAACGTTATACTTGGTATTTTAACGTGACACTGACATATAACAAGAATATCTATGGCAAGAGCTCTTCAGTCGCTGCATGCTTTCTTCTCCTCATGATGATTTTTATTTTTTCCTTTGCAATCCGCTGTAAAAGTATGGAAAAAGTACAACATATACGGCACATTTGTGGTCTGTTCTCCCGAATTTAATTTACGATAATAATTCACTGGAATGCACGAAGAATCTCTCGTTATTCTCCTCAAATCCTCACGTCTCTTTCCAGGTTTGTTTTCACAGGTAAATGCAATTTATAATCTGTCAAAATGAAGGAAATCACTTTGATATAGTGTCACGTAATGCTGAAGTTAATGAATATTTTTGATTAAGGCTTGTTATACAATATATTTGCCTACTACAGTGATATTTAACCAAAGACTCGCGCTTTTGGGGCTATTTTTGGTCTGTTGAAAGTACCTTGTTGATTCTTTTAAACTTTTAAATTTCATTTTAACTCATTGTGACACTTTTTTAACGTATTGCGTTCTTAGAGCGAGCCTTTCACTGATTGTTTACAGCTTTAGTTACACCCATAATTCGCGCAAAGCATCATGGGGCGTAGGAATAAGGTGGATATGTTTGGTGTGAAACGCGACTGCTCTCATGTTTTGCTCAGCAAATGCGAGTACATTTTCTGTCATCTTTGCAGGACTGTGATATGAAGAGTGCGCAAAGTAACATATTTTAGCAACTGTGTGAAAGTGAATAGCACATAACAGGCACAATACCGGTACAAACACGAATATCTATGGGTTCATTATGCGTCACATGACGGTTAGTTCCAGTCCTTGATTGTGATTGGTCAATAGGGGTTATGCGGAGCGCCCAACGTTCGAACCGGAAAACAGGTCTAAGCATTTCCGGTTTGAAGCGGTTAGGTGATCTCTGAGGTAATTTAAAGGATTAGTTCACCTCAAAAGGAAAATTTCCTGATAATTTACTCACCCCAATGCCATCCAAGATGTTCATGTCTTTCTTTCCTCAGTGGAAAAGAAATTTAAGATTTTTGAGGAAAACATTTCAGGATTTTTCTCCACACAATGGACTTCAAGCAACATGTTGAAGTCCAAATCAATGCAGTTTCAAAGGGTTTTGAGAGGAATAGGGTCTTATTTAGCGAAACAATCGTTCATATTCTAAAAAAAATAAACATTTATACTTTTTGTAACCACAATTGTTCATCTTGTCCATTGTGTGGAGAAAAATCCTGAAATGTTTTCCTGAAAAAACTTACTTTCTTTTCCACTGAAGAAAGAAAGACATGAACATCTTGGATGGCATTGGGGTGAGTAAATTATCAGGAAGTTTTCATTCTGAGGTGAACTAATCCTTTAATTTTCGCTTTTTTTATAATACAATTCTTATTTCCGTTTTAATTAAAATGTCACGAATGCTGAAGTATCAGAAACGAGAACATCCGAACGGCAGTTTTTGTTGCGTACCGATCTGTTCTGTGTCGGGGGAAATTAACTATGGGGTAAGGAGACACAGCACTGTCTTATACCTTCATAATCATGAGTAACGTTAAATGAGGCGTAAAACTTAAATCCTTTATCTAACAGAGCACTCGGGGCTCTGGACGTTCGTTTGGCAATACGGTATACATCTGAAATGGGTAGCTCCTGTAAACACCGGCTATAAATGTCGCCATTACTGTGCTGTGTTTACCTCAGTAGCTGACGACCGGAAGTAGTTATACCCGTTTTGTAGAACCCGGAAGAATGTTGCGCATTACCCCTTTTATTCACGATAAAACACGGCTATGACCGCTTCACCCAACGGTTCTATGCATCACTACACAACACCCCTAGCATCCACTCTTAGCAACTTGGCAAACATGTTTGATCTCATTGATATTGTTCATTGTCATAGATATACACACTAGATGTCGCCTTGGCGCTGTAGCACATCATGGCACAGGGGAGCCCCTCCTCTTTAATGCATAAGCGTCAATGTAGGCAAAGGTCTAACGGAAATAAAACTCACCATAAATCGTCATGAATGCGATTTTCTAGTTGTTTTGGTTCGTTTCAATGGTCAGACATGTATTTATCATAGAGTCCAGAGAAAATTAAAATATTTTTTTTTAAAACATTCTTCCTAGTTCAGATTTCGTTCGTGTGAACATCCATACGCAGCACAAAAGTCGGAAAATCCATGAACTCGAAGTACAGGCGGAGATAGCAGCGTTACCTAGAGCTACTTCCTATGACAAGACCCCTGTTCCAAGATGGCGGCGGTTTTGACGCATGCTTAGAACCCCAAGGCGACATCTAGTGTATACCTCTATGGTTCATTGTATAGTAGAGTATTGTGAGAGATCGAGTAAACGAGTGTACATGCATTTACAGTAGATGTAGCATTTTCCTTCAGGTCAGTCCTATATTCGTGATAGAATATCAGTTTGAATGTCCGCTGCGATATCTTGTCCTTTTAACAGTTAAGGGTTTTCCCGTGCCGACAGTCATCTGTCAGTTGCGTCTTCCTTCTCCGTGATCACAAGTTTGAGTCCTTTCAATGTAAGTCTTCTCTACTGACCGACTCACTCAAGTAGGGCTGCAACTAACGATTATTTTGATAATCGATTAATCGGACGATTATTTTTTTCCGATTAATCGGGTAAAAAATTCAATTAGATTTTTTGTTTATTATGACTAAATAAAACCCGGTTACACTTTATTTTAAGGTGTCCTTGTTACAGTGTAATTATATATTTAAGTACAGAGTAATATTAAGTAACTACATGTACTTACTATAGGAATAGGGTAGGATTAGTTTGAGGGTTAGTTGCATGTAATTATGCATAATTCACTGTTTTTACTACAGTAAGTACATGTAACATATGTAACAAGGACACCGTAAAATAAAGTGTTACCTAAAACCCTAAATTAGGATATTTATGTGTAAAAGTGTACTTTAAAAAGTGCAAAAGCCACACATTGAGTTTTACAAATATCAATATTTGCATTGTTTTTAATGATAATTGCTGATGGCAAGTTGACAACCATGATTAATGTAAAAAAAAAAACATTTATATCCAACATATTGTTTTAACACAATTTTTGTTAAAACAAATTTACAGACATGTTGTTCAGATGTGAAGATATATACTAAAAAAATCTCAAATATATAATTCATTTAATTTTTATTTAAAATTAATTGAATTAAGGATAATTTGTAAAAATAAATATAGAAAGACTGAAAACAAGCGTGTGAACAGAGCCGCAGTAGATCGCGTTTGAAAAACAATTAAAACTTAATAGTAGACAAATGCTATATAAAGAGAACGTAATGGAGGTACGCAGCAAGCTAACAGGCCTGATTAAAAAGACAGGAAAAATGATGCATTAGTGCACAAACATTCGCTGAAAACCACTGAGTACAGTGACTAAAAAAACAATAATTTACTGCTGCTGTTATTAACTGCCTTTATATTTAGTGCTTCGCTTTGTAAAGACCGTTTTAATTTAATATTTCTGCGGTAGCACTATTTTAATCCATCACTTATGGTGGGAGTGAACTGATTGCGCAACCTGATGCTCGAGACGCAAAATACAGACATCCCAAGTCTCCCGGAAGTTCTGGAAGTCACCCGCATATTGATAGCGGCTCCCTGATCCTCGCAAATTAGTTCAAACTCCCGGGATTTGAGCGAGCATGCGAGACAGAAGAGACTGTGCTCCAAACCGTGTAGCGCGAGCGCGGGGCAGAGCAACGGAGGGAGAGAGACCTTGCGTGTGTGCCTCATAAAGCGCGTGTAAGACAGAGAGCATCCTGATTGGCCCGTTTCAACCAATCACCAGTAAACGCTCCCCATGACGTAAGCAGACCAACTAATCGATAATGACATTTGTTGACAACGATTTTCATAATCGATTATTATCGATTTTATCGATTAGTTGTTGCAGCCCTACACTCAAGACAGTATTTGCCGACATCTAAAGGCGAAATAATGTATGTAACTTCTGTTGCTGTTTACAGCCAGGGACTATTTTTTCCAGCGGAAGGAAGGCTTTTAGTGATTTTACTTCATTAAAGTTGCACAGATACATATTTTTCGCCTTTAATATTTGTATTGTGTGGTAACCGTTTTATAAAAGCAATAAGCTACTCGAGGCTAGAGCTGTATCGTGAATAAGTCAAAAGCCTCTCGTACCTTATTGCTTACACCATCGTTTTTAAATTCCTACGTTTGCAGTCCCCACTACAGCGCGAAAACTGCGTTTTCAAACGTATCCACTTTGGAGAGCGTTTTAAAAAGCTTTGTTTTCATCGATAAAAATGCCGTCTCAGTGTGAACAGAAGGCCTAAACGCAGAGGAAAAAGATGCGTTTTCAAACAAAAGCGTATTAGTGTGGACAAGTAGGGCTGTGTATCACCAACAATGTCACGATACGATACGCATCACGATGCTAAAGCCACGCTACGATACGTATCACGATATGGATCAATTTGGAATTAAAATTTCTTTTGAGCAGAGTAATATCTTTATTGAATAAACAGTGTTATAACAGTTGTGATAACTGAAAAACTATTTAGTTTTTGTCATTAAAAAACAATGAGAGTTCAATTAAATAAGTGTTGGAATGTGCACCAAACAAAGTAATTTCTTTACATTACGTTGAAATCATTTTAAACAAATAAATACAATAGAATAAAGATAGCCTACCAATAAAGAGAATTTTTTTTGAATAGGTCTAGCACTAGTATTCAGAAATACTACAGAAACTTAAAGTAATTAAATGTACAATAACATTGGGTAGTATTTTAGTCCTGACTAAATTAAATACATTGGCTATAAATCCAGATTCCTTATAATTAAAGCTATCTTTTTTTGTTTTGACGACAATATTAATGACAGACACACATGGCTGCCGTCACTTTAAGAGCTAGTGCACGGATCCTGTGTTCATTATGCTGTCACATGCATTAACCGACTGTGTTGGATACTCACCAAGACTGACATTTTTGACATCAATTTGCTTGTTTTTGTCCGTAAAAGCGATATAATCCGTGAAAAAGAACTTTTGTTACTCACAGGCTGTTTGTGAGGCGGCTTTACTCTATGTATGCATGCAGAGAAAACCATCTCTCAGAGAGCGTGCGAGCACTGAATAGTTTAAAATCGCTTGAATGTTTTGCGTGGTAAGACTTAAAAAGACGAGCGAATGGTAAACTTAAGTGACAATGCAATACTGGCCCGAATATGCAAGTGAATATTCCGTCATGTCCCAACTCCCGAAAGCGAGAGTGTATCGCCGCCTTCAGCGCGTTTGACGCTTGCCTTGAGCAACCCATTTTGAGATAGAGACAGAAGACGCGGCACAGCTGAACACTCACGCTGTTTGTGAAATTGTGTCTTTCAGAATGTTTTAAAATGACTAATTCGATGTTATATCGAATATATATGGTTAGAATAATAAGTAATACTCGCAATCCCGTGCTGAAATTCGAGCCCTGAATTGGCTACATTCAAAAGCATGACAGTATCGATACAGCAGTTGCTGTATCGATACACGCATCGTCAGGAGTTCATGACTATGTATCGTCGTATCGATATTTTGAGCACAGCCCTATGGACAAGGCAGATTCATACCTGTTCTTTATTGTTTTCCAACGCTGGCAGAACTTCTTTGACGGTCCGCTCCACGAGCACGCCGCCGACTAGACGAAAGCACTTCCGTGAGGGATCTACTTCCTTTAGTGTGTCAATGACGAGGCTGTGAAGAGGAAGTGATGAGCGTGAGAACAACAGCATGTGTCTCACACTGCCTTTAAAGGGATACTCCACTTTTTTTGGAAATAGGCTCATTTTACAACTCCCCCAGAGTTAAACTGTTGAGTTTTACCGTTTTTGAATCCATTCAGCCGATCTCCGGTTCTGGCGCTACCACTTTCAGCATAGCTTAGCATACATCATTGAAGTGGACAAGACCATTAGCATTTCTCAAAAAAAAAATGACCAAAGAGTTTCGATATTTTTCCTATATAGCTAAGCTATGCTAAAAGTGGTACCGCCAGAACCGGAGATCGGCTGAATGGATTCAAAAACGGTAAAACTCAACAGTTTAACTCTGGGGGAGTTGTAAAATAAGCCTATTTCCAAAAAAAGTGGAGTATCCCTTTAAAGCACAGCGGGACAGATGTGTGCAAGTATCAGTGCTTTAAACATGAGGTTTCACATTTGTGGAAAATCATCAGCTATATATTCTTATGTGCATTTTGGGATATCACATAAAAATGCCATGATGCGCATCATTTCTAAAAATGTGGGGATGCACGATATATCGGTATCGGACGTTATTTAATTAATTGGTAAGATTTATTTCGGTCCTCACAGGCAATTTTTCTTAACAACAAATTAAGTTATACATAATAACTGAAAAAGGTGTAGGCTAAAGCGTTTGCTTATTAATTATTGCTTATTATTACCCTTTATACATATTTAATCAATCAAATGAGTGTCGCTTTTTCACTGGAATCGATTATTCCAAGACAAGAGAACAGAAAAAGAAACAATAACAACAAGGTATACATGTCAGATACTCGTACAATATTTTAAATATTTTTTTAAAATTAATAAAAACTAACAAAAAATGATTCATATTGTATTATATAATAATTTACCACCATGTTTTTAAACATTTTCTTAAATTTATAAAGTGAAATACACAATTTTAATTCCTTATCCAAATTATTCCATAATTAATTAATTTATTATTATTAATTATCGGCCCGATAATAACATTTTGGCCGATGTATTAGAGTCGATAAATAATGTAATATTTCCTTCAGCGGAGACACTTCAGATGCGCGCTGATCATCATGATGATTTTAAATTGCTTGAAATATGAATCATGTTCATAAAATGATGAGAACATTATTCTAATTGTATGCTTGAGACGTAGTGAGACTTTAGGTTTTATAATCAGAATCTCAGGCTAGTTTTCTGTATTTAATAGCAATAACACAACGTAACGTGTTATAAATGTACATAATGTTTATTAAATGCTAGATTTACAAGGTTAGTAACTATGGAAACTAGAGCTGTATGAATAATCGCTGAAAGATGATCATTATTTCTCTTATAAATATTCATATTATCACAGAAGTACATTAAGTATATAAACACTGTCGTCTACGGTAGCGTAAGTAACTTGACGCTTCAAATAAAGATGGTTTCGATTACATCGTTACTCCAGTAGGTGCCAGCCGACAAGTGACTGTTAAAAATGTTTGTCACTGAATCATTCATTCATAAAAACGCTGATTCATCCAGTAATATTCATGAGTGAGTCATTGAATCATTCACTCAACCGGATTTAAAATAATAATTTGTTTGAATTAAACATTTTAAATCGTCTGCAGCAATTACCATTTCGTCAGAACCTCTAGTTAATCGCATGTTATTTTGTTTAGTTGTCTGAGTGATCTCTATTTAAAAACAATTAAAATCGTGATGCTCAGTTTAGCCAGAATCGTGCGTCATCAGAGTCTGTGAAAAGGGTCTATTATCATTTATCAGAAGATGCAATATAGACAAGACCTCATGCCAATGCATAACTCTGGCAGGGCAGAAATCAGTGCATGCAAGAAGGGAAGGTTTCACAGCAAGTCATGTGTTAAACACACACCTGTGTTCATTGATCTCCATCTCAAACTCTGCGGCTTTGGAGGCCATACTGCGCTGCTCCTGCCTCATCCTCTGGAAGGTCGCCACCACCTGAGTCACACAACACACACATATCATCATCAATAATATTATTCATAAGCTAGGACATTGTTAGGCAGTGTGCCTAAAAGGGTCACTCCAGTAGTTTCTTCTGTCCCACGACAGGAATAGTGACACACTTCCTTAAAGAGACAGGAGGGCATGTACTAGTTTCTAATGGGTGGAGACACTACTACACAGATTTGATGGTTCATCAATTTACAGTCTCTTTCATCTCCCGTGCAGCTCATCTGATATTTGCATTGCGTCTCAGTCTGTACCGACCACAATACACAGCAGCACATCACAAATACACGCGACCAAACCTGAACTCGTCCATTACAATGAGGGGCGTCGGGCGATTTCAGCTTTGTTGTTTACAGGAGGAGTTTTCTGGTTTTGTTCCGCCGCGTTACTCGCTCGCAGCGAGGATTACATGTTCGTGTGTTACTGTAATAAACCCAATTCGCCGTTACCTGCTCGGCAGAAGGAGAGGGCTGCTTTCCGACGCTTTTACCGCTCGTGCTGTTGCTACTGTTCGCCGCCATGATGAACTGCACCGCACGAGTCAGGACCCCTAACGGTCACATGAGCGGCTGCCCGAGAACATTCCTGTCTGAAATGGCCGCGAATATAAAATTAAAGGTGTTTTCTTTATTTTAAAACCGACAAAATACCAAACAGATATTTTTACTCGTTTCTGATACCAGTTTCTTATGTTGTTCTTTCACAAGATTCGCTAATTTTGGACCGCAATCAAATCTTTAGTCTTATCGAAGCCATTTATACGAGAACAAATATAATCTTTTAAATTTGTAGATTTCTATTATGTATATATTGGAAATCTCGTTTTAAAATAAATAGATAAATAATAAATAGATATCATATTGCAGCGATCTTCCTGCTTCTCGCTGAGAAATGTAATTATTTTTAATAGTTTACACCTGAATAATGATACTGATAAATAGATCATGATCGTGATACGGATAACTACACGTTAAGTAATTGAAATATGAAAATTATTATTTAGATCCATCGTAACCGTCCAATCAGAAGCAACATCCTGACAGTGAAGCCCACACGTGACACGATACTTCTGTCCTTCTAATCGAGTATTATTTTTGGATTAAGACACCCAGTTTACCCAAACATAAACTATAATACATTGCAAATGACAGGGTTGTTGTTTGATTCACATTACTCTGTGATAAGAGCCAGTTAGGTCGTGCGGTGTTAATATGTCAGCTGTACAGTTAGTCATTGGCTTGGCAGTGGGTGAAGCGGGCTCGAAGTGCAAGCTGTGATCAACAGAAGCCAGCGACTCACACGCTGCCGATGCGTCTGTCTCCAGCTTCTCTTGCGGCTGCTCTGTTGACTGTGCGAGGACAGATCAGGTGTGTGTTTCTGCATGCTGTTTTGTGTCATATAACACTTCTCAAGGTCTTGCATTTTAATCCACGTCCTCTTAATTGTTCTTTAAATGTGCATGACGTTCTGATGAACGAGATGTTATGTATACATATATGTTTTGACTTTATTTGTTGTATTCGCTAAATAAATAGACCGTAATAACTAGTCTTGTGACTTTGCTGCGTAGTTATGGTTAGTTTCCACATGAAAGCGCAATTGAGATATTGAGTCTCTAACCATTATTTGGAAAGGGAACCCGTGAGACTTTCGTTCATCTTCGGAACACGAATGAAGATATTTTTTATGAAATCTGAGAGGTTTCTGTCCCTCCATTGACTGCTACACAACTACTATTTTGACGCTTCAAAAAGTTCATAAAGCGATTGTAAAACTAATCCATATGAATTGAGCAGTTTAGTCCAAACTTTCTGGAGACACTCACGCTTGCTAAACAGATTTACTTTAGGCTTTTATTCACATATAAACATTCATCAACTCAAACATCAATGAGGTTCATTCTCGTGTAACGCAACACGTTTGAGCTTCTGCAAGAACCAATGAGGTTCAATCTCATGTAACGCATCACGTTTGTGCTTCTGCAAGATCCAATGAGGTTCATTCTCGTGTAACGCAACACGTTTGAGCTTCTGCAAGAACCAATGAGGTTCAATCTCATGTAACGCATCACGTTTGTGCTTCTGCAAGATCCAATGAGGTTCATTCTCGTGTAACGCATCACGTTTGAGCTTCTGCAAGAACCAATGAGGTTCATTCTCATGTAACCCAACACGTTTGAGCTTCTGCAAGAACCAATGAGATTCATTCTCGTGTAACGCATCACGTTTGAGCTTCTGCAAGAGCCAATGAGGTTCATTCTCGTGTAACGCATCACGTTTGAGCTTCTTCAAGATCCAATGAGGTTCATTCTCGTGTAACGCATCACGTTTGAGCTTCTGCAAGAGCCAATGAGATTCATTCTCATGTAACGCAGCACGTTTGAGCTTCTGCAAGAGCCAATGAGATTAATTCTCGTGTAACGCAGCACGTTTGAGCTTCTGCAAGAGCCAATGAGATTAATTCTCGTGTAACGCATCACGTTTGAGCTTCTGCAAGATCCAATGAGATTCATTGTCATGTAACGCATCACGTTTGAGCTTCTGCAAGAGCCAATGAGATTAATTCTCGTGTAACGCATCACGTTTGAGCTTCTGCAAGAGCCAATGAGATTAATTCTCGTGTAACGCATCACGTTTGAGCTTCTGCAAGAGCCAATGAGATTAATTCTCATGTAACGCATCACGTTTGAGCTTCTGCAAGAGCCAATGAGATTAATTCTCGTGTAACGCATCACGTTTGAGCTTCTGCAAGATCCAATGAGATTAATTCTCGTGTAACACATCACGTTTGAGCTTCTGCAAGATCCAATGAGATTCATTGTCATGTAACGCATCACGTTTGAGCTTCTGCAAGAACCAATGAGATTCATTCTCATGTAACGCATCACGTTTGAGCTTCTGCAAGAGCCAATGAGGTTCATTCTCGTGTAACGCATCACGTTTGAGCTTCTGCAAGAACCAATGAGATTCATTCTCGTGTTACGCATCACGTTTGAGCTTCTTCAAGATCCAATGAGGTTCATTCTCGTGTTACGCATCACGTTTGAGAATGTTTATATGTGAATAAAAGCCTAAATTCAGTCTGTTCATTATATAAAGTGATCGAGTCTCTTCATAAAATTTGGACTAAACCGCTCAATTCTTATGGATTAGTTTTACGATCTCTTTATGAACTTTTTTTAAGCGTCAAAAAGACAGTTGTGTGGCTGTCAACGGAGGGACAGAAATCTCTCAGATTTCATCAAAAAGATCTTCGTGTTCAGAAGATGAGCGAAAGTCTCACGGGTTTAGAACGACATGAATAATTTATGACGAATTTTCATTTTTGGGTGAACCTCTATTAGGGGGTCACGCTTGTGATCCTTTCTCTGCGGTCAAATCAGAACGAACACAATAAGTGTAACTTTTCTCAAAATTATTATTATTAAATGAACGTGCTATCAGGATGATTATGAAATGATTGTTTTGTCAGGATGTCGTCATCACTTCCTGTGGCAGCAGTTTGTCAGATGACCGCCACCCCTGACAAAGAGGCCAACTTCAGCGCTTGCACGCGATTGGTCGAGCAGGCCAAAGAGGGCGGGGCTAGTATGGTGTTCCTGCCGGAGGGCTTCGACTACATCGGCTCGAGCCGCGAGGAGACGCTGGCGCTCTCGGAGAGTCTGGACGGTGACATCATAACCCGCTACACACACCTGGCCAGGTTAGTTAAAGGCCCACTGGTGTGTAATGGCGCTTTTCCATTACCAGTACCAGCTGGACTCGACTCGACTCGCCTTGGCTCGCCTCGACTCGGCTCGCTTTTCGCTCCGTTTTCCATTGCAGAAAGTACCGCCACAAATAGTACCCGGTCGTCATAGCGACGCATTTCGTTGCCCCATCAAGCTCTCGCTGGATCCTCTCTTCGGCAACCAAACAAAGGAATGTCTGCACCTCCTCGTTTGACCACGGCGTATTCTTCCGTTCCGAGTTGCCATAATAATAGTAGTAAGTTTAGTAACCATCTCTGACCAAACTATTTAAAAATGGCGGGGTTATTCTGGATACTCCATCTGGCGCGTGCAATGATGACGCAGATTCTCTGTGACCAATCAGCAGTCGGCATTGTTTTCACGTCACATTTTAGTATCGGCTTAGCTCGCCTCAGCTCGCTTAGAACCTCGCCGGAGGTGGTACGAAAAAAAGTACCCGAAAGCAGGTACAGGTACAACTTTTACACAGTGGAAAACCAAACAAAGGCGAGTCGAGTCGAGTCGAGTCAAGCCGAGCCGAGCCGAGGCGAGCTGGTACTGTGTAGTGGAAAAGCGCCATAAGTGACTAACGCATATGATCCAGAAGTCGTTGTTGATGAGATGCTTGTCTGTGGTTAAGGAAGCTGGACTTGTGGCTGTCTCTGGGTGGATTTCATGAGAGAGGACATGACTGGAAAACAGACCGCCGCATTTATAACAGCCACGTTATCATCAACGGGAAAGGTACTTAGTTCACCCAATGCACTTTTATGATGGATAGATGCACTTTTATCATGGATGGATGCACTTTTATGATGGATAGATGCACTTTTATGATGGATAGATGCACTTTTATCATGGATAGATGCACTTTTATCATGGATAGATGCACTTTTATGATGGATAGATGCACTTTTATCAAGGATAGATGCACTTTTATTATGGATAGATTCACTTTTATGATGGATAGATGCACTTTTACCAAGGATAGATGCACTTTTATCATGGATAGATGCACTTTTATCAAGGAAAGATGCACTTTTATGATGGATAGAAGCACTTTTATCAAGGATAGATGCACTTTTATCATGGATAGATGCACTTATCAAGGATAGATGCACTTTTATGATGGATAGATGCACTTTTATCAAGGATAGATGCACTTTTATGATGTATAGATGCACTTTTATGATGGATAGATGCACTTTTATCAAGGATAGATGCACTTTTATCAAGGATAGATGCACTTTTATCATGGATAGATGCACTTTTATCATGGAGAGATGCACTTTTATCGTGGATAGATGCACTTTTATCAAGGATAGATGCACTTTTATGATGGATAGATGCACTTTTATCAAGGAAAGATGCACTTTTATCATGGATAGATGCACTTTTATCAAGGATAGATGCACTTTTATCATGGATAGATGCACTTTTATCATGGATAGATGCACTTTTATCATGGATAGATGCACTTTTATCAAGGATAGATGCACTTTTATCATGGATAGATGCACTTTTATCAAGGAAAGACTCACTTTTATGATGGATAGATGCACTTTTATCAAGGATAGATGCACTTTTATCATGGATAGATGCACTTTTATCAAGGATAGATGCACTTTTATCAAGGATAGATGCACTTTTAATAATGGATAGATGCACTTTTATCAAGCATGGATTCAAATTTTCTCCAGCCATTCACTGCCATTATAAAGCTTGGAAGAGCCAGGACATTTTTTTTAATATTACTCAGATTGTATTCGTCTGACGGAAGAATGTCATATACACCTAGGATGGCTTGAGGGTGAGTAAATCATGGGCTAATTTTCATTTTTGGGTGTACTATCCCTTTAAGTGGTATGAATCTGAATTAGCCAAGTATGCAAAACATACAAGGAATTTGTCAGCAGTATAAGGCGTCCCACACGCATATGCAATGTATTATAATAGTTGCAGATATATGAAATGACACTGTAAGTAGAAGCGTGTATAATAAGATCTGTGTGTGTGTGTGTGTTCCTGCGCTCAGGTGAGGTCGTGTCGGTCTACAGGAAGGCTCATTTGTTTGATGTGGAGTTGACCAGTAAAGGTGTGTCTCTTAAAGAGAGCGCTTTCACAGTGGCGGGACCTCGACTGCTCCCGCCGGTCCAGACGCCCATCGGGAAGGTAACAGCAGGAACGGCTTACAGGCTTGTTCTCATGCTCATACGTTCACATGCAAACAAATAATCCGTTAGTAGGGGTGTAACGATACCCTCATGTCACGATTCGATACATATCACGATACTGAACTCACGATACGATATTAATGCGATACTCCAAGACAAATGGGAAAAGGGTAACAAAAATATTTATGTTGATTTAAAATGCTACATTTGGTAAATACATTGGATGTGTAAATGAATAGGCTTGGTCCCAATGCACAGGACAATAGTGACACCCGAATACAAATATTCATGATTCTGAAGCTGAAAACAGAATTATTTTAGATGAATATGCTTGTGCTCTCTCACTGACTAGATATATTTAAAATAATGTGTTTTTACTGGTAACATCAGACATTTGGCATTATCAGGAGCCACAAATATTGCATTATTATACATTATATTCAACATTATATATAGTAGTTTAATGTAGTACTGACACTAAAAACTCTGAAAACTTGAATATTTTCTCACACAGTTATTTTCATTTTCACAATACATATTGTTGCATTTTTCTATTGCGATATATTGTGACACGATCTATTGTTACACCCCTATCCGTTAGTAATGGGATTGACGGCTCAATCGGACTGGAAAGCGTTCATGTAAACCCCTTGTTCGATTTGATTGAGCTCGATCCCAATGAAATTTCGATCGGATTGAAAGGGGTGTTTTTTAATCCGATCGAGAGAACATGTAAACACTTGATCGGCTTGAAACTGAAAGCACTGCGCATCTGTTCTTCCTGTTGAATAAAGTGACGTATAAATGAGTTTCCCGTCATTTCTATAATCCTCCTTTCACTGCGTCTGTGAAGTGTAGCCGGACAACGGCCCACCAGTCCTGGTTTCAGACTCATCCACAGACGACTGGTTTTGGGCATTTTTACAGCGTTATAAATATAAGCAGCGGCACAGCGGTTCATATGCTCATTTACTCCAAATTATGACCAGAAATGGATAAATATTAAAGTCTGCTGTTTAAAACAAAAAAAGAACCAATGTAGGACAATGGTTAGTAAAGGGTTAGTTCACCCAAAAATGAAAATGATGTCATTAATGACTCGCCCTCATGTCGTCCCAAGCCCGTAAGACCTCCGTTCACCTTCGGGACACAGTTTAAGATATTTTAGATTTAGTCCGAGAGCTTTCTGTCCCTCCATTGAGATGTATGTCCGGTATACTGTCCTTGTCCAGAAAGGAAATAAAGATGTCATCAAAGTAGTCCATGTTATAATAGCCAGTCTAATACTGTGCTAGAGTTGTTGTCCCGTAGCTACTTGTTATGACACGCCAGGCAGCTAATGTTGAACTTGTTGTTACGTGCAAAGTAACTCCATAGGCATCGTCTTCGTTGCAATATTACCATCTTTATTGTCCTCCACATAACTGCACAGCACACAAGGTCCACAAGCACGAAGATTCCCAGAACTTCACACGACAACAGCATTCATCAAACTCCGCCGTAGCGGTCAAAAACTTGTTTGCCCTTCCGGGTCAACACCTCCCTACTACCTGTTGACCCCTCACATATATACATGTGCCTACAGCACCATCTAGTGGCCCAAAATAAAAGATACACACATTTGGCTCTTACACACTGGCCCCTAATTGACATGATAAACAAACATGACAATTTATTATTATTATTTTTTCTCAAACAATAACCATAAAGGAGACCAAATGAGTTCCTCACATGTGGCTTATACACAGTAATTAGACTCCATATACCATGCAAAGCTTAGAAATTGGTCTCTCAATAATATTGGATTTAGTTTTCAACTTCACAGATCTCACAAGGCCGTGACTATCTGGAAAAACTTCCACAACTTTTCCAAGAGGCCAAGATCCTCGAGGGGCAGATGGATCCATAATGGCCACAACATCTCCAACAGCAAGATTTTTCATCTTCTCGTTCCATTTCTGTCTTTCTTGAAGCAAGGGTAAATATTCTCGAACCCATCTCTTCCAGAAAAGGTCAGCCAGGTATTGAATCTGTTTCCATCGCCTCCTTCCATACTGATCCTCTGGCTTGAAAATCCCAGGAGGAAATGATGGCTTTCCTCTAAGCAGGAGCAGATGGTTTGGTGTTAAAGGCTCCAAGTCATTTGGATCGTCCGAGAGTTTTGTAATAGGACGATCATTCAAAATGGCTTCAGCTTCACACAACACTGTATTTAACCCATCATCATCCAGGGTTTGTTGACGCAGTACTGAGTTCAGCACCCTTCTCACCAATCGGATCATTCTCTCCCAAACACCACCAAAATGGGAGGCAGTAGGTGTATTAAAAGTCCAATTAATTTCTACCTGTGCCAAGAATGAATTTATTGTGTCCTGGTCCAGTTTGACAAGAGCTTCTTTCAGTTCTCTCTCAGCTCCAACAAAGTTTGTTCCATTGTCGGACCACAGATGTTTCACTTGTCCTCTTCGGCTGATGAATCGTCTTAACGCATTTATGCAGGAATCAGTGTCAAGAGTAGCTGCTACCTCCAAATGAATGGCTCGACTCGCCAGGCAGGTAAATATAACACCATATCTTCTGCAATGTGTTCTTCCTCTTTTAATCTCAATTGGTCCAAAGTAATCAACCCCTGTGTTGGTAAAGGGGGGAAGGTCTGGGAGAATCCTTGCAGCAGGTAAGTCAGCCATTTTCTGCATTAAGAGACGCCCATTGTATCGCCTGCAGATACTGCACTGTCCAATAATCCTTCTCACAGCAGAATTTCCCTTTGTAATCCAAAACTTTCTTCTTACAGCCGACAGAGTGTGAGCTCGTCCGGAATGTCCAAGAGTTTGATGAAAGCATTTGATGATTAATTCAGAGATGTGTTGCTCCTTGGCCAGGATTATTGGATGCTTAGATTCCTCTGGCATTGCACTTCTGTGAAGTCTGCCTCCAACTCTCAAAAGCCCATCCTCCAAAACAGGATCTAACACATAGATGGAACTCTGACGGCTCACTCTGGTGTTCTGCGATAGAGCTTCAATCTCAAACTTGAACCTTTGTTGCTGGCAGTACAAAATGATGAAGAACTCTGCACTCTGTAACTCTGCCGTGGACAGACTGCTGCTCTTTGGGTCATTAGTGGTCCTCTGGCGCCCTCTTGTGTTCATTTTGTGCACCACTGTATTTTTTCTCACTGGAATGTCCAACTGTTTTCTACACCTACACTTCTCTTTCAACACACTCCTCAACCTCAAGTACCAGGCCACTGCCCTTTTAAGTCTCCTCCAGTCCGAAAAGTGCGCAATAAGCTGGTCTGAGGGAGTAGGAGTGTCAATGCTGATTGCGTAAACTGCAGCCTCCTTCCTAACCTCCTTGTCTCCAACATCCAAAGCCACCTCCAACACAATTTCAGGCCACTTTTCCTCTTCTTTCCGCAAAAATGCTGGTCCTTCTAACCACGCACTGGGTTTCAGGAAGTCTGATACCTTCAGTCCTCTAGACACATAATCAGCTGGGTTTTCCTTTGTGCTGATGTGTTTCCATTGAGCGGGCTCAGACAATTCTCTGATGGTTGCAACTCTGTTAGCCACAAATGTGTGAAAGCGCCTGTCCTCATTATTAAAATACTTCAACACAGATGTGCTATCAGTCCAGAACACAGAATTTTCCAGTCGTATGTTCAGCTCTGCCTTGACCATAGCATCGATTTTTACAGCTAGAACGGCTGCAGACAGCTCAAGCCGTGGGATGGTTATGGTCTTCAGTGGTGTTACTCTGGCCTTGCCAAGGAGAAAGGCAACATGGATGATGTTTTCATGATTTGTCATACGAATGTACGTAGCAGTGCCATAGCCTGCTTCACTGGCGTCTGAAAAATTGTGTAATTGTGCATGCTTTATAGCTCCAAATCCGACAGGTTTTATGCACCGGTCCACACTAAATGCAGCCAGCAGAGTCAGCCCCTCCAGCCACCTTTTCCATTGGTGTAAAACGTCCTGAGGTAATGCATCATCCCAGCTGCAGCCTCTTTTACACAGTTCCTGCTGCATCATTTTTGCCTGCAATGTCACTGGCGCCAGGAACCCCAACGGGTCAAAAACAGAACTGTTGACGGACAACATTCCACGCCTGGTCAGGGCCTGATGTTTCAGATCCATCTTAAACTTGAAAGCATCACTTTCCACACACCACTGGAGACCCAGAGCTCTTTCCATTGGAAGCTTATCAATATCCAGATCTAACGTCTTTAAATCCTTAGCTCTTTGCTCTTCTGAGATGGCTTGCAGAACAACGCGACTATTGCTTATCCATTTTTCCAACGTGAAGCCTCCCCTTTCACACAGCGCAACGAGATCATTTATCATCTTGATTGCTTCCTTGTCTGTAGCTGAACTCTTTAGGCAATCATCAACATAAAAGTTGTGTCTAACAGTTTCTGTGACCTCTGCTGGAAATTCATTCTGATTGTCTTTGGCAGTTCTCTTTAAGGCATAGGCCGCACAGCTTGGAGATGAAACGGCTCCAAACAAATGCACCATCATCCTGTAAGGCACTGGTTCTTGTGTAGTGTCTCCTTCTGGCCACCAGAGAAAGCGGAGGAAGTCTCTGTCCTCTTCAGGCACACGCACCTGATAAAACATGGCTCTAATGTCTCCCATGATGGCTATTGGTTCCTGTCTGAACCTCATGAGGACGCCCAGAAGTGTGCTCGTGAGATTGGGCCCTGACAATAGCTCACTATTCAGAGACACTCCCTTAAATGTTGCAGCACAATCAAACACCACGCGTAGTGATCCCTTTCTAGGGTGATGGACTCCATGGTGAGGGATATACCAAATTCTTCCATTGTTACAATGCAACAGATGTTCAGGTACACGCTCTGCATAGCAGCATGAGATGACGTTGTTCATGTACTCTACGTACTCCTGGTGAAAGTGATGGTTGAATTTAAATCGCTTTCTAAGGCCTTGTATTCTTTGTTTGGCCACAACAAGATTATTTGGTAAACCGACATCCATCCTTTTAAAAGGTAGGTTCAGGCAATACCTTCCTTCCTGCATTACTGCAGATGTGTCCATAATGCTGAGAAACTTTAGATCTTCTCTGGACATTTCCTGTTTGTTGGTTGAGTTCTCACAGAAATCATGGTTATAATGGTTCTTGAGCAGTTCCTCCAACTTGGTCACTGATATTCTATTTACTGTTACCGATGAGACTTCCTGCTCATCATTGCCATCTAATTTACCGTTAACCACCCAGCCAAGAACAGTTCTGACAGCATATGGACCATTTCCTTGACTGTTGATGACCTCCCAGGGTTCCAATAACTTGGGGGCATTAACACCAATCAACAGTTCAACCTCAGAGTGAATGGATGGCATGTAAACCTCTGTTAAATACGGCCACTTTACTAGATCTTCAGATGCTATCATGTCGTCCCTAGTGACAGGCATTTGTTTCTGTGTGATGACTTCTGGCAGAGGATAGAATGTGTTACTCTCCAGCCCTGCCACCTCAAGATTAAACAGTGAAAATGCTGAACACGTTTTAGATTGGCCCATTGTTCGAAGCAGGACTTGTGTTCGTTTTCCAGTGAGGTTCAGTTCATGCATCAGCCGTTCAGAACAAAACGTACCGGTGCTGCCTGGATCCAAGAACGCATATGCTTGGATAATACTCTGACCTTTCACTGCCTTGATTTTTACAGGAAGCACTGACAGCATGCCACGATCCTTTCCGGCCCCTGTATGGCCACATATTGTGGGTGAAACTGGCAGGGGTTCTGATGTTTCTGCTTCATGCTCAGAGGGAGCCATTTGTTGTTTTATGTGTAACACTGTTGGATGGGTTTTGTTGCAAATTTCACATGTTAATCGTTCCACACAATTCCTGCTGATGTGGCCCCGTTGCAGACAGCCAAAACACACTCCTCTTCTCTTTAACAGAAATATTTTATCTTTGTGCAGTTTTCTTTCAAATTGTTTACAATCCCCTAATGTGTGAATTTGTGAGCAACAAACACAAGGCTCATCTTCATTTCCTTCTATTGTAACATATGTCTGTTTGGATTCTTCAGGAACACTCACAGATGTTACAGTGCTGGCCACGACATTTCTTTTAATCTTGGTACCCAGGTGTGGCCTTTGCTGTTGCTGACTAAGAAGTGTTGTACTTAAACTATAATCTTGTAAGTCACCGAAAAATGGGTCTAACAAGATCTTGACATGACGCTCTATAAATGCAACCATATCATTGAATCCAGCCCTATATCCAGTTGTCTCCATGATATCATAGGCTTTACCTCTCCAGCGCTCTCGTAGTTTATATGGAAGTTTTGCAAGAATTGCTCTCATATTCACAGGCATGTTGAGCTCTTGCACATATTCCAGCTCGTTCATCACATTACAACAACCACGCAGAAATAAGGAATAACTCTGCAATGCCCTTGTGTCCTCAGTTCTTATCGTTGGCCAAGAAAGGGCCTTGTTAATATATGCAGTTGCAGCTTTGTATGGATTTCCAAAATGTTCCTGTAACAAAGTCTTTGCTACTGTGTAGCCATGATCCGGGTCCATATGTTGGCAACTGCGCACCAGCTCACGAGGTTGGCCTCTAGTAAACTGTTCCAAGTAGTACAAACTGTCAGCTTGAGTTGCTTTCATTTCCACTCCTTGTTCAAATGCTTTAATAAAGGCTCTGTATTGCAGAGGATCGCCATCAAATACAGGAATGTCACGTGATGGTAAAGTCATTGACTGCTGCTGCTTTACCATGGCTGCTGTGATTTCAGTTTGTCTGTTCATGATGGTAAGAAATTCTCCAGGTAACTGTAGACTGGTTGTTGATTGAGTTATGTTCTCATTGTATGTATAACGCTCCCTTTGCAGTTTAGTTCCACTGGGTTTATGTTGTTCAACCACAAGGGGTGTTGCTGTCACAGTTTTCTTTGGTCTGACATCCACAAGTTTAGTTTCAATTAATGCCACCTTTGGTTCATTTCGTTGCTGAGATTGCATTTTATTGTCATTTTTAATTATTTGAATTTCAACATCATTTTCAGGTATAAACTCTTTGGCAACGGGATTCAGTTCTTTTACCACTCCCTTTGATCTCCTTTTATAACATGAGCTCGTTCCAGTTAACTTTGTTTGTGAAGAAGACTCCAGCATAGAGTTATACATTTCCATTTGATAATCACATTCTACCAACTCGGTCTTCAATGCAAGCAGCTCCTTCCTTCTTCTCAGCTTCTCCTCCTCTTCTTCTATAGCATGTCTTTCTTCCATGGCTTTCACATGTGCCAATACTGAGGCCCTTTTAACTGCTGCTTTCAGCTTAGCAGATGAAATGGTGCTGGATTTAACACTTTTTTGTGACTGTCTACTGCCAACATTTGACACACTGTCATGAGGACTTATATCATCATCAAAACGATCATCATTTTTGTTGGTTTCAGTTTGAGAGAGCCACTTATTCACACTACAAACACACTCATTATTGGGAATCATTTTGGCTTTAAACCATATCTCATGCTTTTCTTTTTCATCACATGGCAATAACTCCAACAAGGACTCATGTAAATTTTTGGCATCATCACATGCCCCTTTTAACACATCCACAGTACTTAATACATTTGAGTTATCACCTTTAGACATTAACTCATGAATCTCACGTCTTATGTTACCCATTTTGTTTAATTTTAACCTTCGTTCGTTTTGCAATTTATCAATTTTTTCGATCAAGGCCTTTTCTGTTAACTTAACAGTGCGTTTTTGAGTTTCCCCCCCACTCGCCATCTGTTCAGTCTCAGTATTGTTCTCCATTTCCACAGTGCGTGATTCCATTACGCATAAACAGTCAGTAACGCGCGTCGCAATAAGAGTTCGCTTGAAGTCAGCGCACCGCCAAGTAAAGTCACTTATGTGCCTCAAACGAAAAAAGGGCCACACTCAACTTTACCTTCCAAACGCCGCAAACCGCAAATACCAATGCATTGGATTTAATGTGTGCACACAATTGGCCATCAAAAGGTGTAGCGCTACACATACCTCGTTGGGCGCCTTTACTGTAATTCACCGTCGTCCAACCTGACACGTGAAGAGTCTCCGTGGTGCTCCAGCTTGGCTCCTCCGGCTGCGGTGCTCCACCGCCCCGGTCGGCTCCTCAGCTGCCGCTGGTGTCCAACGACGTCTTTGCCGCTCCGTTCCCAAGGCATCAAAGTTCAAAGAAAGTCCAAAAAAGGACAAGTTTTTGACAGTATAATAGCCAGTCTAATACTGTGCTAGAGTTGTTGTCCCGTAGCTACTTGTTATGACACGCCAGGCAGCTAATGTTGAACTTGTTGTTACGTGCAAAGTAACTCCATAGGCATCGTCTTCGTTGCAATATTACCATCTTTATTGTCCTCCACATAACTGCACAGCACACAAGGTCCACAAGCACGAAGATTCCCAGAACTTCACACGACAACAGCATTCATCAAACTCCGCCGTAGCGGTCAAAAACTTGTTTGCCCTTCCGGGTCAACACCTCCCTACTACCTGTTGACCCCTCACATATATACATGAGCCTACAGCACCATCTAGTGGCCCAAAATAAAAGATACACACATTTGGCTCTTACACATGTGACATCAGTGGGTTAGTTAGTGTTTTGAAGCATCGAAAATACATTTTGGTCCAAAAATAACGAAAACTACGACTTTATTCAGCATTGTATTGTCTTCCGGTTCTGTTGTGGATCCGCGTTCAGTGCCGCTGCTGACGTGTGTCTGGTGTGTGTGTGTGTGTGTGTGTGCGTGCGTGTGTATTCTGGTTCTGTTGTGGATCCGCGTTCAGTGACGCCGCTGACGTGTGTCTGGTGCGCCTGAGCTTCGTTTACAGTCTGAGGGAGACGCACGCTGGAAACAAAACAATCTTCACAAACATGTCTAAGGATTTCCACACAGAGGAAGACTTGCATTTTATTGCCCAGCCATATTTATTTGAACCCAAATACACACACACACCAGACACACGTCAGCAGCGTCTTACGTCAGCAGCGGCACTGAACGCGGATCCACAACAGAACCGGAAGACAATACAATGCTGAATAAAGTCGTAGTTTTCGTTATTTTTGGAGCAAAATGCATTTTCGATGCTTCAAAACACTCTAACTAACCCACTGATGTCACATGGACTACTTTGATGATGTCTTTATTTCCTTTCTGGACAAGGACAGTATACCGGACATACATTTACAATGGAGGGACAGAAAGCTCTCGGACTAAATCTAAAATATCTTAAACTGTGTTCTGAAGATGAACGGAGGTCTTACGGGCTTGGGACGACATGAGGGCGAGTCATTAATGACATAATTTTCATTTTTGGGTGAACTAACCCTTTCAACAACAGGAAACTCTGAAAATTCGTCAATTTTGTTTGTTAACAATTTGAAGCTTGTGACATATAATCACGCACCTCAACCCGATCACGTGTTTAGCGTTCATGTAAACACCATGTTCGGATTCATCAATCGGAATGAATTCCAGTCCAATTTAAACAACAGTTGTGCATGTAAAGGTGGCCGTTGTCCTGATGTTCGGCAGGTCGGTCTGGGCGTCTGCTATGACCTGCGTTTCCCTGAGCTGTCGTCAGCGCTGCAGAGACACGGAGCCGAGATCCTGACGTTCCCATCAGCCTTCACGGTGGCCACGGGAGCCGCGCACTGGGAGGTGCTTCACCAGATCCTTCATTCACACACTACAGTAGCGCTTTAATTAGGACTGGGTTGAAAATATTGATTTCTCGAATTGAATTGCATCTCATTTTGATGTCGTTTCTTAAAGGTGCAGTGTGTGATTTTTAGCAGCATCTAGTGGTGAGGTTGCGAATTGCAAGCAACTGAAGTTACGGTGGCCGACAGGAAGTGATGTCGTCGTCTGAGACAGCAGAGAGTAGCCAGTTAAGCAACGAGGTTTCTTTACAAAGATACATTAAGAAATTAGGTTTACTTAATCATTCAGTAAAACGATATGTTATTGCAAATATTATTGTTACCTGTTCATCATTGTGTCAGTGTTTTATTCACTGACTTGAGCTCGATCTTTGCACGAAGAACAACACAGTGACGACACGCGTTTGTCCGTTCAGGGCCACCGTAGAAACATGTCGGTGTGTGTAGATAGACATCGCTCATTCTCAGGTAATAAAAACATAACGGTTCATTATGTAACGTCTTTACACACCACTGAAAACATAGTTATGTATATGATATTGCATTTCTGTCAACAGATCCTCCTAAATATCACACATTGCACCTTTAAATCCTAGTAATCTGTTTTCAGTTGACGCATGAACAAAACTTAAAGGGGTGGTTGATTATGATTTCACTTGTCTAACTTTAGTTAGTGTGTATTGTTGCTGTTTGAGCACAACCAACATCTGCAAAGTTACAACGCTCAAAGTTCAAAGCAAAGGGAGATATTTGCTTTTACAGAAACTGCTTTTTAAGGACTACAACAAACGGCTGGTAGGGACTACACGAGCTTCCTCCCGGGTTTGTGACATCACTAACCCTAGAATTTACATAAACCCCGCCCCCAGGAACACACAATAAAGGGGGCGTGTCCATGAGAGGGGAAGAGTTGGTTTAGCACAGCACATTTGTGAGTTTGCTCAAGCTGCCACATCCATCTTTTCACATTTATTGCAATACAGTATGTAACACAAATGCGTTTACATTTACATTTGGCAGACGCTTTTATATAAACGACTTGCATTGCATTTCAAGGTACACATTTACATTCTTCTCAGTTCTGGCTTTCCCTGGGAATCGAACCCATGACCTTGGCGTTGCCATAGATATCCACAATAAAGGCTAGATGTCTTGCGGCGGAGTCTCTATCGTCATCACCGGCGGCCATCTTGTCACAGGCATATTTCTGGCGGGCTCTGTGTTGCCTGATGTAAGATGAGTGATCAACACAAACACAAATACTCTTATCTCGTTGAAATCTTGATGGATTTACAAACGGTTTGGTTTCTTACAAACGTTATTAACGTGGCTATACTTCTGGATGATTATTTATTGATACACTTATTATTCATAAGTATGCAGTGTCATAACTACATCTCTGACGTTTATAACAAACCAAACCGTTTGAAAATTGGTAGAAAATTGAGCAAGTTATGGTTATTTAAAAAGTACATGCACCATTAAAACACAATGTTACGAGTGAGCGAGCTGCCTGTGACAAGATGGCCGCCAGGTGCGGACGTCGACCTCCATTGGCCAGCAGCGCGGACGAGACATCTAGCCTTTATTATGCATATCTATGGGCGTTGCAAGCGCCAACGCTCCACTGTTTGAGCTCCAGGAAAGCGATATGCAATAGCATGTCCCTCTATAGGCATCTTACAACAGTTCCCACGCTAGCAATTTATAGATTATCATGACAGAATATCCTAATCAAAGACTTGAAGATAGTTAACTCCACACCAGCAATATAAATTCATCAACTAACCATTCAGAAACGTCCTGTTGCTTCTACATTGTCACTTCTTCTTGAGTCGCCCCATCTTTGTCCGACTTCGGTTTGAACATAAAAGGCAGAACAGTTTCTGACATTTCAGTGCGTGTGTGTGAAGCTCCGCCCTCTCACTCACTCTTGAAGCTCCGCCCTCTGTGCCGGGAGCAGCAGCTCATTTGCATTTAAAGGGACACCCATGAAACGATGCGTTTTTGCTCACCCTCAAAAAGGGACAATTTTAACATGCTATAAAAAATTATCTGTTGGTTATTTCGAGCTTTTATTTTTCTATCTGTCTACCTGATATATATACAGTACATATAATTAAGATCAGAATTGAATCGGATTGCAAGCTTGTGAATGTCAGTGTATTCTCATGGTGAAGTTGTTGCTGTAGATGCACTGACCCGGTGTCCCCTCACTCAGGTGCTCCTGCGGGCGAGAGCGATCGAGACGCAGTGTTTCGTGCTGGCGGCGGCTCAGGTCGGGTCTCATCACTCGCGGCGGGCGTCTTACGGACACGCTCTCGCGGTGGACCCGTGGGGGGGGGTGATCGGGGACTGCGGGGGGGCAGATGTGGGCGTGGCGCTGGTGCAGATCGACCTGCAGACGCTACGGGACGTCAGGAGGGACATGCCAGTGCGGCAGCACCGCAGAGAGAAGGACTTTTACTGCAGCTTGGACTGAAACACCCGTTTATGAATAATACACACTGATGCATAGTGATGATAATTCATGACTTATTAATAAATTGGACCCAGGCTGGATTAATGATTTGTCTACTGTGGCGCTTCAGTCAGTAGTGAAAGACTGTGTAAAAGTCTCCATGAACTGATCATGACATATGGGCTAGAATTAAGCCTAATGTCTTTCTCTTTGAGAGATATATGAGAGCAAGCATTTAATAAAGAGAAAGTTATGTACCATCATGCCTTTTTTTCCCTGTGTGTCTTTGGCGAATCACAGCAGTGCTTTACTTTAAAACAAGCCTGTTCGGCCTCTAAGCATGTAGTTTAATTTATATGGTCATATTAATTGAAATTGAAATCCTGATGTTGAAACTTCAGCTGCTCTTTGCTTTTTAATACTATTTTTATTATATTATACTATAATATTTTTATTATTTTATAATAAATTGTTTGGTTTTATATATGCATGTATCTTTATTTCAATGCATTATTCTTATTAACTACCCTTTTTTTGCCCCATTGTTTGTTTCATTTTGATTATGTAATTATATTTTATATTAAATTAATTTGTCACATTTTATGATATAGTACTATCATCAAATTAATTAAACTTTGCGTTATACTTTATTTTACTTGATCATCATTCTTATTACTTGCTCACTTGCTTTTCACTGCCATTAATTTTATTATAATTTATTTACTTGCATTAATTTAGCATTATTGTAATTTACTTAATATATTTTTCATACTTCATGATTTTTCTATATTATCTTCATAATTTTTCTATATTATGAATCTAGCAGGTTGCATGCACAATCATTATATACATTTTTTTTATGTAATTATTATTATATTTTTGTATTACTTTTTACTTTATCAACTTCCCTTTTTTATTGATCTGTTGTTTTCATTCGTTTTATTATGTAATTATGTTATTTTATAATAAATTAGTAATTTATATAAATGTGATACCACAATATAGATTATTATCAAAAGTTAAATCATACTACTATTTTGTTCTTATTTTTGAAAAATTTCAAAATAATAATTCTTATTAAAAACCCGTTTGCTTTTCATTGCCATTCGTTATTTGTATTTTTTTAGTATATATTTTATTATTTAATATCTAAAATAATTTTAAGATATTTTGAGTTAGATTATTATTATTTATTTTATTTTTTACATTATGAATCTAGTAAGTTACATGTAAAATCATACTATTGATTCTCCTCTGATGATGGAGGAGGCGGAGGGGAAACCGGAAGTGATTGTGAACACGTCAGTGACACAGGAATGGGCCAAAACAAGCCTCACCAGAGCAGGATGACAGCCAGTTGCTGAGAGGAATCATGTCGTTGTGTGTTTTACTTGAGCTGGTGGGATGATTCGTGTGTTCAGAGGTCGTTTCGAGGCATTGCGGAGGTAAGAGCGTCACATCTGTGCGATTACAGCAGCGCGAGACTGTCACTCATCATCACAGCATCACATCTCACTTCAGACGCTGCATTCACAAGCAGCTGACAGCTATTTTGGTCTGCATTTCCATGCAAACCGGTTCATGTGTGCTGGTTTACAAATATACCCATGCATGTGTATTTTAATGATTGTGTGAACTGGACTCAGTGTTATTTGCATCCAGTCCTTGAATAGAAGTGTGAGATGCGCGTGAGATTTTCTGACAGTCCGCTACTTTATTGAATGCTTTTGAGCTTTTGTAGATTGATGCATCTGTTAAAACGACACGTACATCTCTGTGCTCATAAGATGGAGCTGCACACACACATTCAGGCTGTACGTGCTTCTCAGAAACATGTATTAGTTTCTGTTCAAACTGTGCTTGTGTTAGTGACTCTGTTTGCTGAGACTGATCATTAACATGCTCGTCACTGATGATGTTGAGGCCCTGTTGCCTTCAGTGTGTAGAGTCACAGTCACAGAGATGAGAATGTTTCTCAAAAACACAGAACACATTGTTTTGGCTTTGTACACTGCCAACATCACATGCATTCATGAGTGTGTTAGAGGAAAAGTAAAAGGAAATTCTGCATGTCTTTCCACAAATGTATGACTTTTTATGGAAGCTGCTCTCCGCCACAGAATAACTAAATAAAAAAGGTAATTGCGACTTTTTATCTCACAATTCTGACTTTTTTATATAAACTCACATTTGCAAGTTATAAAGACAGAACTGCGTGATATAAACTTGTAATTGTGAGTTATACCGTCAGCATTGAGACATAAACTAGGAAAAGACGAAGTTATGACACCAAAATGTTTAGATACCAGTGAAAAAAAAAAAAAGGTGAATTGTGAGTTATAAAATTGAGATATAAACTTGGAATTGTGAGATATATAGTCAGAATTGCATGATATAAAGTCAGAATTGCGAGATACAAACTCGAAATTGCAAGTTGTAAAGTCGGACTTGCGTGATATAAACTCGAAATTGCAAGTTGTAAAGTTGGACTTGCGTGAAATAAAGTCAGAATTGCATGATATAAACTCGTAATTGCAAGTTGTAAAGTCGGACTTGCGTGATATAAAGTCAGAATTGCAAGTTGTAAAGTCGGACTTGCGTGATATAAAGTCAGAATTGCAAGTTGTAAAGTCGGACTTGCGTGATATAAAGTCAGAATTGCAAGTTGTAAAGTCGGACATGCGTGATATAAAGTCAGAATTGCAAGTTGTAAAGTTGGACTTGCATGATATAAAGTCAGAATTGCGAGATACAAACTCGAAATTGCAAGTTATAACGTCGGACTTGCGTGATATAAAGTCAGAATTGCAAGTTGTAAAGTCGGACTTGCGTGATATAAACTCGAAATTGCAAGTTGTAAAGTTGGACTTGCGTGATATAAAGTCAGAATTGCAAGTTGTAAAGTCGGACTTGCGTGATATAAACTCGAAATTGCAAGTTGTAAAGTTGGACTTGCGTGATATAAAGTCAGAATTGCATGATATAAACTCGTAATTGCAAGTTGTAAAGTTGGACTTGCGTAATATAAAGTCAGAATTGCAAGTTGTAAAGTCGGACTTGCGTGATATAAAGTCAGAATTGCAAGTTGTAAAGTCGGACTTGCGTGATATAAAGTCAGAATTGCAAGTTGTAAAGTCGGACTTGCGTGATATAAACTCGAAATTGCAAGTTGTAAAGTTGGACTTGCGTAATATAAAGTCAGAATTGCAAGTTGTAAAGTCGGACTTGCGTGATATAAAGTCAGAATTGCAAGTTGTAAAGTCGGACTTGCGTGATATAAAGTCAGAATTGCAAGTTGTAAAGTCGGACATGCGTGATATAAAGTCAGAATTGCAAGTTGTAAAGTCGGACTTGCGTGATATAAAGTCAGAATTGCAAGTTGTAAAGTCGGACATGCGTGATATAAAGTCAGAATTGCAAGTTGTAAAGTCGGACTTGCGTGATATAAAGTCAGAATTGCAAGTTGTAAAGTCGGACATGCGTGATATAAAGTCAGAATTGCAAGTTGTAAAGTCGGACTTGCGTGATATAAAGTCAGAATTGCGAGATATAAACTCGTAATTGCAAGTTGTAAAGTCGGACTTGCGTGATATAAAGTCAGAATTGCAAGTTGTAAAGTCGGACTTGCGTGATATAAAGTCAGAATTGCAAGTTGTAAAGTCAGAATTGCGAGATATAAACTCGAAACTGCAAGTTGTAAAGTCGGACTTGCGTGATATAAAGTCAGAATTGCAAGTTGTAAAGTCAGAATTGCGAGATATAAACTCGAAATTGCAAGTTGTAAAGTCGGACTTGCGTGATATAAAGTCAGAATTGCAAGTTGTAAAGTCAGAATTGCGTGATATAAACTCGAAATTGCAAGTTGTAAAGTCGGACTTGCGTGATATAAAGTCAGAATTGCAAGTTGTAAAGTCGGACTTGCGTGATATAAAGTCAGAATTGCAAGTTGTAAAGTCGGACATGCGTGATATAAAGTCAGAATTGCAAGTTGTAAAGTCAGAATTGCGAGATATAAACTCGAAACTGCAAGTTGTAAAGTCGGACTTGCGTGATATAAAGTCAGAATTGCAAGTTGTAAAGTCGGACTTGCGTGATATAAACTCGAAATTGCAAGTTGTAAAGTCGGACTTGCGTGATATAAAGTCAGAATTGCAAGTTGTAAAGTCAGAATTGCGAGATATAAACTCGAAACTGCAAGTTGTAAAGTCGGACTTGCGTGATATAAAGTCAGAATTGCAAGTTGTAAAGTCAGAATTGCGAGATATAAACTCGAAATTGCAAGTTGTAAAGTCGGACTTGCGTGATATAAAGTCAGAATTGCAAGTTGTAAAGTCGGACTTGCGTGATATAAACTCGAAATTGCAAGTTGTAAAGTCGGACTTGCGTGATATAAAGTCAGAATTGCAAGTTGTAAAGTCAGACTTGAATGATATAAAGTCAGAATTGCGAGATATAAACTCGTAATTGCAAGTTGTAAAGTCGGACTTGCTTGATATAAAGTCGGACTTGCGTGATATAAAGTCAGAATTGCAAGTTGTAAAGTCGGACATGCGTGATATAAAGTCAGAATTGCAAGTTGTAAAGTCAGAATTGCGAGATATAAACTCGAAATTGCAAGTTGTAAAGTCGGACTTGCGTGATATAAAGTCAGAATTGCAAGTTGTAAAGTTGGACTTGCGAGATATAAACTCGTAATTGCAAGTTGTAAAGTCGGACTTGCTTGATATAAAGTCGGACTTGAGTGATATAAACTTGCGAGGTGTAATGTTGCATTCAAGTCTTCCTCGGAAGTTCATATTTACGAGTTGAGAGGTCGTGTTTGCGTCGTCTGGTGCGTTCGAGTCACTTTGGTCGTAGCAGTATGGAGGTGCACCTGCTCTTAATGAACTACACAAGAGATTTAAACTCTTCTTCTAGAAAATGAAGAACAAAAAATGTGCACCAGGTGTGTTTTACCGTGTTTTAATTTATAAAGCCGCTGTAAACTTTATCGTTAAATCTGATATTGCTATAAACTCACAATTCTGACTTTATTACTCCCTATTGTGAGTTTATATCAAAAAGTCCGAATTTTGAGAAATAAGTCGCAATTAACTTTTATTTTTTATTCAGTGACGGAAATTTCTCAACTCGTAAATATGAACTTCCCAGGAAGACTTGAATGCACCATTATTGCGAGTTTATATAACGCAATTCTGACTTTTATAACTTGCAATTGTGAGAAAAAAAGTCTCTCTTAAAATCTTAATCTTAAGTTAAAATCTTTTAAATTGTTTTGTTCGGTGGCGGAAACAAACTTGCATTCTTTCTTTTGTGGAAAATAAAAATGAGTTTTCCATACAATTACATGTTTAAAATTGTATAATTAAATACGTTTTTTTTTTGTATGATAATTTATTGTTTTAAATGAATGTTTTTTCCATGCAATTCCAATAAATGAGCACTGAAGCTGTTATGCTTCACAAGGATGCCAAAACACCATAAAACTATCATAGTTCATATGAATAATGCATGTTCTAAGTCAGAGGTTTTCAAAATTAATGTAGAGAAAAACTGTTCATTAAGAAAAAATAAATAGATTACAGTAAAATAAATAAATACAAATTAAAATGGATAAACAAAAATGACAATAAGAAATACAATAATGTGTAAATAAATAAATAAATGATACATCTTGAGTGATACACCCACATGCGGGTGGTGATGGCGCAGTGGATAAGACACATGCCTTTGGTGTGAGAGACCCGGGTTCGAATCCACTGTGAGACACCAATGTGTCCCTGAGCAAGACACTTAACCCCTAGTTGCTCCAGAGGCGTGCGACCTCTGACATATATAGCAATTGTAAGTCGCTTTGGATAAAAGCGTCAGCTAAATGAATAAATGTAAATGTAAACATCTAACAGTGTACAGTGCTATAATGAGTAGAAAAATGTAATAATTAACTTCAAAAACGGAACATTTTGCAAATAATATTTAGACACAGGGCCTAAAACTATCCATAAATATTGTTTACCTGCCATGAAAGTGTTTTTTTGTTGTTGTTGCAAAAACAGGCAGTTATGACACCAACATTTTAGATACCAGTGAAAATTCACAATTTCAGGTGCAGAAATTTAATAAAGTAATCAAATCTAGTCTTCACTGTATAAATTAAACATACTTATTAAAGTTACAAAAGTTCAATTTAATTGAGTCGAGAGTAGTGAGTGATTGTTCTTCGTCTTCTGTTGTTTGGTTAACACTAAGGCGGCAGAGGGATATTAGGCTACTGTCCCTTTAAGAGCCGCACGAATCCAATATACTGATACACGTGTTTTCTTTCTCAACTGTTTATGTTCACTGAAGACATTACTGACCGTGTTTATGAGGTTACTCGCCAATAAGGGCCTTTTCAAGTGCAAGCAGACGTGACGAGAACTTACTGTTTTTTTAATGTGACATT